GGTAAAAGTTTTATAGCAAATAATTCGATTAATCCTAAATTAACCCCTTGGGGACGGGTGATTCAGAAAAGCATTCGTACAAAATCAGAATCAAGTTGCAATTAAATAAAAAACGGTAACTTAAATGTAATCGTTACTAATTTGACAGACTTACTTTGCTTTTATTTTAATTATTGTTAGTTTAATCATATATATAATCAATGTTAATTCAAAGTATAACTAAATAGTTTTATTTTGAACAAAGTAATGGTGAATTAAATAAATCAAAAAATTATAACTCCGCCCACAAATAAACTGCTAAAGAAATACTTTGATTACCAGTTTTATCTTCTTACCCTGATTGATACGGTTTTTTGCTGTCACGTATTTGTGACAGTCGGCGCGAAAGGGTTAAAAGATTTTACTGCGATGCCAACTTCCTCAGCCTTGTAAAAAAATATTTATGTGTAGTGGTAACGAAATTTAAGTAATTTTTAGTTTCGTATTTTCCCTTTTAGGTAATTTTTCCACCACTACCTATCAAAAAATCAAATTATTAGGTAAAATACAACTGTAAGTTGTGAATAGTTCAAATAGTAAGCATAACTATCCTTAATCTCCAAGTATTCCTAATCTACAAATTAACTCGCTATCGCTACCAATTAACTAAAACTTGCGTAGAAAGCAAAGCAGTTGGCATCTCTGTTTTTGTTGTAATTAATCAATATAAATAATTTTGAATAAACTAATCGAGATAATTAGGTTTTAATAAATTAATCGTTACAAATAGATTTTATAGAATAAATCAATTTTCGAACTTTCATCACTAACTAGCATAATTATGTATAATATTAATTATGATAATAAGGAATTAATTGTTTATAAGTTCTAATAACGTTAATATATGACCTTATTTAATTCTTAAAATATTTCAAAATAATTCTAGAAAATATTTTATATCAGTTATAAAATTAAATCGAATCACAGAATTTTAGCACAACTAAAACTTTTACAATGTTACGAATTATAGTAATAATTTAATCTCGAAATTTAGGAAGGTGAAGAATTAGTTCTTGTAAACGGTTTTTGTTTACATAAATTTAATTTGTTGTACTTCTTTGGAGTAGATAGGTTTTCGATATTTTATTTAAAAAAATATTGATTTTTTTCAAAAATTAAATTATGGTGTAACTAATTTCCGAAGTTGTTTATTTAATTTGTTTATTTAAGTCTATTTAAATTTGTTCTAGACAATCTGTTCAAAAACATCGGAAAGGAAAAAGTTTATAAAGCATCTCTTACTTTTAAAAGTACATAAATTATAGCAAAAAAATTATCTTTAATACCATGAAAAGAAACGCCTACTTTCTTTACTTGAAAGTACGGCAGATCATTTTTTTTTTTTTTTTAGTACAGCATATTAACGGAGCCTTACCCGCTATGATTTTTTTAAGTCATAGTGAAATGAATAACTTTTCATTATCCGAACGAAGCTTTAATTGGAAAGTAGGCGTTACTATTATGAACTGAATTTACATCTGATGAAGAAGTAACGCCTATTTTCTATTTGAAGCATTAATTTGAAAAATAAATAGCAGGTTGCGATAAACTTAGTCTGTAAGAGAAAGAGACGTGAATAAAATTGTTATTTTTCTTTACGAGAAGTAAGACACTAAAGATAGGGATAAATAGAGGAGAATTCTAAATTTTTGACGAGAATATTTTAAGATATTGCGGTAATCATATGCATATGATTTTTCTGGCCGCAAACTCGGCAGATATATTCGGAAAACTGATTTATACCATAAAATTTATTACCTGCTTCATGTTTTAATGTATTATATTTTATTCATATAAACTTATTTTCCCCAACACTACACATAAATTATTTAAAAGTTTATAAGCAACTCCACTTTGTTACAAGTCTGTCATGGTGAGGCTTTTAAAATGTGGGCAAAATTACTAAAAATTCAGAAAGCCTTGGTTTTTAAATATCTATCTATAAAATATTTTGCTTGTGTGGATGCCATCAAATCCAAAACAAGACCCATATTGCCAATGGTAATATCTCCGCCCATTTGATAAGCGAAAGTATTAAATTACTGTTGTAAACTCATCAAATTTGTTTGAACAATTTAATCTTATAACAATGTTTTTTTTTTCTTATATAAATTACTTCTGTTTACCAATAGATCTAAGTATTGATAATACTAATAGATAATAATATTTGGAAGTGGAGGCACAAGCAAACAAAATTCTTTTTAGTACGCATGTGTTAAGTGAATAATTTTAACTTCAGTGGAAAAACTGTTTTCTTCAAAGAAACAACAATTATCGCGAAGCAATCATCGGGGTTGGTGAGCGGTAGCGAACAGGATGCTTAGTCCCCCAGTTATTAAATAATAGATTTCAAGAGTTATATATTTGAGCTTTTGACATAAATAAGTAAAGATATCATTTAGAGGCTCAAACTTTCCTTACTGAACTCCCTCTTGTGGTCGAAAAATATAGTAACAAAAGAGGAGTGAGTTTAATTTTACTTTTTTGTTTTTCTTTATATCTCTGGAACAGATGACGATAATAAAATTCTTTAACTCAAAATTATAAAATTTGTTCATAATTGTCAAAGTGAATGGTTCTACTTTATAAATTAACAGATTTTTAAGAATATTTTTAGCCGTTGCTAAAACTATTAATTTTACAAGATTTTTTTTTTTTTACCCATTTGCAAAATGGGTGTTGTTTTGGCACCTAATTTGGACGTCATCACACTTATCAACTGTGTTCAAGAGTAATAGTAACGCGCATGCGTCGTCATTGCATGCTTTGCTATGGTGACCTCTGCTGTTTGTTTATTTTTATTTTCACCAGCAGGCATTTTTAATGTATTAACATAATAATAATTTGAAGAATTTTTATATTCGTTTTATTATTAACGTATGGCTTGACGGTGATTTCAATATAAATTTGAATACTGAAGGAAAAGTATTTTGTGACGTCATGAAACACGTTTATAGCCAGGATTTGAAAACCAATCCGAAAGACAAACATCAATGGAGACAGTTTCTGTAGCCCATGCTTTGAAATGTTGTGGCATTCATCGGATTCAATAAAGAAAAGAAAATAGCATTTGACCAATCGGTAAATCGATGATCGTAATAAAGTGATCACATTTTCTTAAATTTAATTTTCTTTAATTAAAAGTTATTATATGTTATCAGAAAATTGAGGCAATAGCATAACTCAAAAGCTTGTCAATAAAGAAAAATATTGAAATTATTTTCAAATATCTAAACAATAAACTGAATTTATTAAACTGCAATCATTAACTATACGTGGAGCATTGTTATATCAATTGTAATGCTAATGATCGTTGCCCTTGGATACCGTAAATTAAATATCATAGGCAGACAATCATTGATTAGCTTGTTTAATTATTGCGTCTCTGAAAGTATTATGATAGAAGGAGCATTTTTAACTGAAAGTTTTTAATTTTCTAAGTCTTTTACATAAACTGCTATAAAGATTAAGACATTCAAAGTAAGACATTTATTAATATATAAGAAATTTAATAGTACTTTTGCATATTTATTTTTTACTTCCATTAAAAAATGTAAATCAAAAGAAATTATAAGTGTTATAAGTGTTGTTAAATGAGATATTAACCTATGTTACTCTTAATCTGTTTCACTGAATTAAACTACTTGGAATTTTTTAGAAAATATAACTAGGTCGTTTTTGAGAAATCAGTAGTCAACAGTTTATTTATTTTATTGTTAAAACATTTTGAAGTATATAACTAGTTCTATTTTTTGACAGGTTAAATTGATCATAAAATTCATAAATCATAATTCTTAATTCACGTATATATAGCTCAATAAAGACAAAAAAGATGAAAAGATTAAAAAAAAGAGAGAAAATTGTAGAAAGCTAATAAGTTTTATTAACTGTGCATAAGTTGCAAGTATATAGAATTCATGAAATAAGTTAAAATAATGAGAAAATAAGAAAGTAATAAAAAAAATTCAAATTAAATTACTTTTAAAAATATTTTCATTTTTCTTTAAAAAGATATTAAAAGTTAGGAAAACAAAATAAAGAAAAGATTCTTCATCAGCTCACACAAAGCAAAATATATGTATATTTTGCTTTGGTTATATTGATACAATATTAGAAAGCACTTCTCGTGGATATAATCGTGTGAGCTGACGGAGAGATCTTTTCTTTATTTTGTTTTCCTGATTTTTATAATTTTAAGATAAATAAAAAAAATGATACGCTTTCGTGCCGAGTTTATCCTTTAGGACCATAGTATCAGAGATAAGTTCAATTTAAATTTTAATTCATCAGATTTTTATTTTACAGTCGAAAGCATTTATTAAGGAAAAAAAAGAGTAGAGAAATTAAATTATTTACAAAATGTGCATAGAGCAGAAGCTCCAGGAGACTTCTACAGATTCGTTTTTAAAAGACAAAGTACGCACTTTTTTCATATGCAGCACATAGTTATTATTTCTTTCATGTCACTTGATCCATAATATCCAGATTATCTTGTTAGGGTTGATACCGTAAAAAGCAATCATATTACCGCATGAAGTTGTCTCACAATATTTATTAATTTGAGTGATATTTCCGTTTCATAAAGACATTTTACAGCACGGTATGGATTCATTTTATAAATAAAAATTACATTTCTAACTAATTAACGATAATAAATATGCGAAGTGCTTCATTTATTATGTGAAAGAGATTATTTAAAGATTTTTAATTCTCATCTTTTGGGAGGGCAAATCGACAGTTAAAATATAGGGGAGAGTCGGGTAGCCCCGGCCAGCGGGTACCCCTGCCCACTGTCAATTTCATATGTATAGAATAATTATTCAAGTCAATGGGCCATCGGACATTAATTCTTATATTAAAAAAAGATTATTTTCAAAGTTTCAAGTATTTATGCAGCAAGATGGTAAACAATAGTTTTGAAAATATGTTGAATACAGTAGTCATGAAATTAAGANAGATAGAAAATACTTGCTATGGGAATACCGACGTTCAGACAATATGCCAAATACGTTTTTAAAAAGACACTCATTTCGAATGTTTCTGGTATTGTTTCAACCAAATCGATAAAGAAGGCCCTCTGGAAATCATTGGTGTTCGTTGCATGCATAATAGGATTCTTTTACCAAACTGGCGATTTTCTAAATTTGTATTTTACCTATCCAACAATTGTTAACGTGGAAGAAAGTAACCCGTTTGAAGTAGTTCTTCCAGCTATAACTATTTGTAGCAATAACAGGTATTTAAAATTATTTGTATTTTTGTAATATTTATGGTTGATATTTGCGAGGTTAGAACCAATAAAATGTTGATTTTGTTTATTGACCAGTTCCATACAAGAGTGTCGTCAGGATTTCGTTGATTGAAGTAAAAGTTTCATTGCAAAGTGCTGTTTGTGCCATTATAAGAAAACTCAAATGATGGTCTGAGTTCAAGAGTTTATTCACACGAGTCTCGTGTGCGTCGGTGGCTGGCGGCTGTTTTTGTTCTTCCAGAGTGTGGCTGACCGCTTCACAACCTTCAGTGACATCGGTAAAGAATCATGATATTTGATAAAGAATCATCACCACTAGAAGCCGTCCTTTTCACTGTCTCCTCACTAAATCTGCCAAGATTCACACTCACTTAGTGGCGTAATTGTAATGGCTTACAATTACGTATGCCAGCTTACATGGCAGACAAAAAATGGAGTAATAGTGTTCGTAGACGATTGATAGCTGTGAGATAATAGCTGAAGGCTCTCTAGTAGTCCGAAGGAACGAACATAAATTGCGCAGTGGGAGGTCAATAGGAAATAATTCGCAATCTTCGGACTACTAAACTGTGCAGAGGAGGAAAAATAAGAAAGTTGTCACAACGTTCGGACTACTAAAAGATCGGATTTCTCTCTGATAGTAAGCCGTGCGAACGCTATCTCTCTTCTAAGAGTTGTTAGCCCTTTACTGATTGATATTAACCTGAGTACTCTGATTCGAATATTAGCTTAATGATAAAATCGATGACATTACTTTTCAGACACATTCTGTATGTTTAAAATGTTTGGCAACTGCTGCATATTTTCTTCAAGCCTGCTCTCCGATTAAGCTATCTGTGATAAAAACATAGTATAATTACCAACACACAGCTTGTTTTATTTACCATTATTTTTTACTATTTACATTTATATTATTTAGTATTATTACTAGGTACATATTTATTCGCAAAGTTAGATAATTGTTGTAAAGTTTTTAATTTGCTTAAAATATATTTCCTACAATGTATTAATTAACTGCAATTGAAAATTTCTTGTAGAATTACAAATTTAGAAAAATTGAATGATCTGAATTTAAAATTGGAAACGTTATACGGCATAGAATGGTGAAATAGATCTTAATTAATTATTATTTCAGATTCAGTCGGCAAGTTTCATGTGAAAAACACGGTAATTGGTGCACATTTTATGAGAATGATGACTTTTGTGAAACATATTCTCGATTTTGTAACACACCCAATAATTATTACAAAAAAGTAAGTTATGACTAGTTTTATTTCTCTCCTAATAATATTAAACTATATATCGTGAATAGCAATAGGAAGTATTTTGGACTCACTACTTTAAATTACTTGTACAGGAGCTAAAAGCATTATAACTGCATACAGTTAACTACAGTAACTGTATGCAGTTAAACCTTACTACAGTTAACTTTAACTTTCATAAACTTTATGTAAACACATAAAGTTTAACAGTAGGAAGGGTTTTTTATTAAAATAGAACACCAATACGCCATCACAAATTTACTTTATGATTTAAATTCAAGATTTTACTTTTTAATTATTTGTTGAGTTTTTGATTTGATATTCAATTCTTAGACTAATAATATAATTAGATTTCTTTTTGTCTAAACAGTTTGAAAAGGCTAAATGAGAAAAACCAGATCTTTGCAAAGCTCTAAACAAATCGGAAAAGTATCCAAAACATTCTATACATCATGATTGTTTTCAGGTAAAGTACAATAAGCACAATGTCGCGTCAATTTGTAGTGAGACATTTCTCCGCGCACGTTTCGTCGGAGGTGACAGTTCGACGTGGGAGCAATTCGTCGCGAGTACAATTCGTCACACGCACAATTCAACGCAGGCGCAACTCGTCATGGCGACATTTCACCTTGAGCACAATTTCTTGCGGCTTCCATGAAATGCATCTATTTACGAAGACAAACTGTTGCATCGTAAAAGAAACCTTACTAAATATTTAATTTGTAAAATATTACAAAAGCAGCTAAGGAAAGCCGTGGTGGCTCAGGGAGGAGAGTGTTCGCCTCCAACAAGGTGAACCGGGTTTAAATCGCAGTGATGGCTGGTTGATACCGCACCCGGCTCGCACTGGCCACACTGCTGACGTAAAATATCCTCAATCGGATCATGGATTAGAGTCCCCTTGCAGACAGGTTAGCAATGGGAGGTTTTCATGGTTTCCCTCTTTATGTAACGCAAATGCGGTTTAGTTCCATCAAAACGTCCACCACGAAGGCAAATTTCTCCCAATACTTGCTCCATTAGTTTCCTTTTCTTCTGGATTGGGTTCAAAATTACAAGGCTACGGAGTTGAATATCAGTAGTCGTAAACCCAAAATTAGGTCGGCTGTTCAACGACGGGTATAGAAAAAAAAGTTCTCTCCGACTTTAGACTAGCCAAGTTTGAGGAATATTTCATTCCAAAAAAAGTATAATATAACGAGAGGCAGAAGTTGTTTTTAATTAATCGACGAGCTGGACGATGAATTTGGCACAAGTTTGGAACTAGTGGATGGTGGCTTCGTTAACAGCTGCGAATACTGAAATAAGATTCTGATTCTGTAATGGTAGATCAATTTCTCAGAGGGTTACATGATCCTTGTTTGCAGGCGGGAGCGTCTGTTTAGAGTACCGGCAGTGACTCTCTCGGAGCCGTCGATTTGTGCCGTGCTGCCGAAACTTCAAAATTGCAAGCACAAGTGTTTACTGGAGATCAAATCAATGTGGGTAATATTTGAAAACACAAGCCAAGACCAGCAGCTAAAAATTAATGCCTATAGTAATAGTCAAAGTGGTCAAAAATCTGGAGATGCATCGTTTCATTTCAAAAATCAAGTGAAAGGCTCGAATCGACAAGCTTCAAGTCAAGATACGAAACCAGCATGTTGTTAGCGCTATGGATTCCAAATGTGGGGGAAAATTGTCCTACGTTTTGAAAGAAGTGTCGAAAATGTGAGAAGTTGAACCATTCCTCAATAGTTTTGCAAATATTTTCTTTTATTATTTCTCTAATTCATGCTTTTTTTACTTGTATTTTACATGTTATCTAACATAAGTATAAGAGTTATCCTTTTGGTGCCTGGTACCAAGTCTCCATACTACTTTTTTTTTCTTATAACCGTCGTTGAACAGCAGACCCAATTTTTGGGTTTACGACTACTAATGTTCAACTTCTCTAGCTTTGTAATTTTGAACACAATCCAGAAGACAAGGGAACTCAAATATTAGGAGACATAGAGAGGAGGACCACGAGAACATCACACGGCTAGCCTGATGGCAAGGGGGCTCTAACCCATGATCCGTCTACGACTGAGGATATTTTACGTCAGCACTGTGGATGGTGCAAGCCGGATGCGGAATTCGTATCCACCAACCATCTCTGGGATTCGAACCCGGTTCACCTCATTGAACACTTTATCCCCTGATAAATCACGGCTTCCATGCTACTTATTTTCACAGTCCACAATTTCTTAATTATGTGTCGTAACAAATTCAACGAATTAGTTAATGCCGCTTTGCGACAACGCACTGAGATTTAAGTAATGACATAGTGTCATTAAATATTTCTTAAAATTAGTTTAAGAAACCTCGAATATCATCAAATTAAAAATTTATGAGGCTTGTTATGAGGCGAAAATTTTCCTGACCGGTAGATAACTGTCAACTTCAGTTTTGCTTTTACCAGAGTTTTAAAAGTTATTTTTCACTTCAATTATTTATTTAGTTAGTGTTTCACTTCATTTATTCATTTTTTACAGTTATAAAAATTGCGGATTGTCATTATAAAGTACATAGATGAGATTTTAAAATAAAGTTGCTACTTATTTTCAGATTCCTCAAAATGTTTTTAAACAGTTTGAGGAGAATAATAAATCCTGGGACGTTGCAGATGAATTATTTCCAAAGCAGCCAATCATTCGTGAGTGCCGGATGGGTACAAGCATAAAAAGTTATGAGTGCAAGTAAGAAAATTTTATAATGGTTAAAATAAAATAATAGTTAAAAGCACTGAGTGAGCCAAATTTATTAAAACCATGCAAGAATTTCTTTTAGTTTAGAATTTACCCCAGGATTTCTATTGTTTCGAATTTGTAAATATATATGTATAATTTTGTGAATATTCTCTTGTTATGAGGCTAAATATCTCAGTCGGAATCTAAGTAAACAGTTTAATTTGAAAAATTGCTGGGAAGTCGTATAATTTTAGGGTAATTTAGAGAGAAAATAGCGTCTAATGTTTTTCTTGCGAAAGACTCAGTTTGGCGAAATTTTAGTTGACTTTGTGTTAGTCTTGGCGGCTTGGCGATATTCGATGACCATTTCGGGGACAAAAAAGTAGGTCTGAAACACTCTAGTTTCAAAGCGATTGGACTAATATTTACAGAATTATTCGAGAATTGTCTGAAATCATGTCGAAAGTTCCTCGTCAAGCACAGTGGCTTTTATCCCATCTGAAATTTTTGATGCGATGATGTAAAAACGATGGGTTTAGGACCAACACCTCCTAGAATAAGGAAGGCCTCAGCACGGATCAAAGTAGTAGTCCGATGTGACGAAGTTAACTGCGCAGTTGATGAAAAATAGGAAATATGTCATTACGTTCGGGGCACTAAGCTGCGCAGTGGTTGAAAATACGAAATAAGTCATTACGTTTGGACTACTAAAGGATATTTATGGTAACCCGTGCAGAGGCCTACTCTTTTCTAGGAGGTGTTGTTAGGACGCGATTAGGTAACTGAGTATGAAGACGAGCACCTTTCTGGGCAAAAAAAAAATAAATAAATAAAAAAATAAAAAAAATAGAGTCGACTTTCTCTATATGTCCAAGAGCGGTGAAATGATGAGAAATTGAGATGATCTGTTAGTTGTAGAGCACAGGTTGTGAGGTAACGCCCACTTCGATGGCTTTATCTTTGATTTTATGTTTTTGGTGCTGCAGGTGAAAGTGATAATAGCGATTTTGGTAATTATGGTAGGAAGCATCGCAGAAATACTGGTTAGGTCTCTTTACTGTCTAGGTCTGGTTAAATCTTTGGCGAAATCTCCGTTTTGGAAGATAGGATTGATATTTGCTGCGATACCTTTAGCTGATTTGTCGAAAAAGTCGACATTAGGGCTGTAAACATATTCTGTAAGAGTATAGATTTTGAGGCCTCTTTGAATATTGGAGTTTTTATAATCGTTGTTGAACTGCCGATCCAATTTTATGCGTTTACGACTATTAATGTTCAACCCCGTAGCCTTGTAATTTTGAATCCAATCCAGAAGACAAGGGAACTCCTGGATCGAGTATTGGGAGAAATTTGCCTTCGTGGAAACCTTTTTGATGGAGCTAACCCGCATTTGCGTTACATGGAGAGGAAGACCACGAAACTCTCCCACTGTTAGCTTACGGCAAGGGGACTCTAACCCATGACCCGTTTACCACCGAGGATATTTCACGTCAGCACTGTGGTTGGCGCAAGATGGATGAGGAATTTGTATCGACTGGGATTCGAACCCGGTTCGCCGCATTGGAAGGCGAACGCTCCATCCCGGTCGGATATTGGAGTTTGGGCTAAATTATCTGGCATCAGTGATTTGTATTGGCAGATGTTGAGTTTTTTATAGAGATGCGATGAAATCGTAGACCAAGCAAGCGAGGTGCCAACAACTATGGGACGGATCATTGTGGAATATTGTGGTACGGAATATTAAAAAAGTAAATAAATAATGCCTATTTTCTACTCGAAGCTTTGACCCTTTGACGCATATTAGACACGGGTGTCCCTTTCATATATTTTTTTTCTGCCGCTCTAATTACAAGGGAAAATATATTTTAGTATTTTTTAATTATAAAAAAATCTAATATTTACTGAACCTGTTAGATTATCTGAATTATATTTGTACAAAAATATAAAATCCGAAGAAAAGTTGTTTGAATTTTCCTTCATTCATGTTGAAACAAATTTTTCAATAATTGATTTTGTAAATTAAAGGAATTTCATTGATAAATTACTTTCTCTCTTAGATCTAAATAAGTGCAAATTTAAAGAATTATTGTTTGGAATTGTGCCGCATTTGAAAACTTTTACTTTTAGCGCTGCAAAAGGGAATAGTGTTTCATGTTGAATTTCATAACCACAAACTATTAAAATGATAAATATAATATTTTTCATTTATGTTGAATAAAATTAAAACAGAATAATAAAAATGGTATGAAAAATATGTTTAATAAAAATTTTGTGTCAAAAGCGTCAACATAATATGGTAAACATGGTCTAATTCTGAGTAAAACGTCGGGAGGTTAATTATCCTTTTCCTAAAATTTAACAAAATCTAGAGGTGAAAATAAGTGAAATTAAAGAACTCGGACAATTTGAGAAGAATGATGGTGAATATCAATAAGAAATGTATTCCGAAATAATGGATGAAATAATATACATGCCTGCCAACTATTACGCTTTTTGCAAAATATTTAATAGAATGGTGGACATTTAAAAACCAAAACTTCAAGAATTTTTGGTAAATTTTGCCGAAATTCTAAATGTCTCATCACGATAGAGCTCGAACAAAGTGGCGTTGCATATAAACTTTGAAATCATTTATATGTAGTGGTTTGAAAAAAAAGTTTAAATGTAAAATAATACTTTGAAACATAAACATAGTTACTACTGGAATAAATTTTTAATTTTTACAAAAAGCGTAGAAAATTAGGTATGAGTACCTTCTATATTATGAGAATTTTCACTTTAGTCAGAAGAACACGCTGACCTGAATACGCTACCTCTTAAATTTTTATAAGCATTGCTTCAATCATTAGAAAAATGGTACAAATTGGTATTTTCGGTAAAAAATAATATGGTTAGTGTTGAAATAGTGATGTTTTTTTTCGATATTATATTTCAATTATTTTTAAGCACATGAGAACGTTAATATCTCAATGCAGCTACGACCTCTTTTATTTTGTATTTATTGCATTGCTAAACATTTGTGTGTTTTTAATTATTCATTGCAGTGGCCTGAGCCATACGAATCAACAAATGAAAATTCCTTTTTTGAGTGTAGACAATAAACCGTCATACTGCTACGTAATAGCATCCCAGCTTCATCAGCCAGATTCTCAAGAAGAAATATATCCGAATTCATTGTGTAAATAACTTTTTTTTGTAGCTTATTAATTTATTTTTGTTCGTATGGATCAAAACGGAAATTAATAAATTCTTTTTAGTTTTAAATACCAGCATTTTTCATATCAACTACATAAGATTCTAATATTTGTATTAGAATTATTTTTAGGAACTGATCTGCCCCTGCATTCTTCGGCATCTCTGACTTTCTCGGAGCTCCACTCCCGTTTTAACAGGCTTCGTGATCCTGTGGCCCCTCCAGTTCATCATTGGTATCAGTCCAACCGCCCAGGTGGCAGCCTGACCCTTCAGTGCAGCAGGCGGGATCAGACGGTTATATCAAGATTTCGAAGCGGTCACCTAAGAACTATGTTGTTCAGTAATGGTTCAAGAGTTTTCCCTGTTTGCACTAAGTGTAACGACCAACAAGCTACTCCTGAACATATACTTCAATGCCTAAATATCTCTAAAGTGGACCTCTTTTCAGATCCACTTTTTGTTACAGACTTGCTCAGAGTCTCTGGAGTCAATTGAAACTGAAGTGCGGCATTTAACTTCCTGTGTATATTTTAGTCGATCCAAATTTTGTATGGATAAAAAAAAAAACATTTCTAAAAGCTTAAAGCCAGACGTTTCAAATTGTGCCAACATTTTTGCTATCTAAAGCATTTGCTTCTAAAAAAGATTGTTTCCATAGAGTTAATACATTATAACCGTAGCTGAACAGCCGATCCAATTATTGGGGGTTTACGACTATTAATAACAAGCTTAAGCCCGTCACGCCCCCGTAAGGGGGCATCCGGGGGCACTCCGAGAGTTCGAAGTGAGCGTAACAGTTCAATTACATGAGGAAACATATTCAAAATTTTCAAATTAGAGTTTTAACAAATAGGTAGAATATTAAATATGAAATCCAGAAAACAGCGTTATTTAGAAATGAACTAAATACAAACAGACATTACAAAGGAAATAAACAGTATCAATCAGAAGAAATATTGATGTCGCATCTTCAGTAGGGGTGCAATGTTAATAAAAGAAAACAATTTTACATGGAAAATATAGGAGGTTTGTAACTCAGAATATAATTAATGCTGACACAACAGTACTAAAAGTATCAAATTCCAGGAATTTTTTTTTAAACAAAAAAAACACATTCCCCTTTACGACTATTAATGTTCACCTACGGAACCTTGTGATTTTGAACCTAATACAGAAGACAAGGGAACTTCTGGATCAAGTATTGTGATAAATTTGCCTTCGTGGAGGATTTTTTTGCGATGGAACATACCCGCAGTCGAGTTACATAGAGAGAAAAACCGTGAAAACCTTCCGCGACTTGCAATGGAACTCTAACTCATGATCCGTCTATAGGTTTACGACTTGGAGCATATCGGCGGATCATGGGCTAATAGGATATTTTTTTATGGAACATTCCCGCCTTTGGGTTACATGGTGAGGAAAACCACGAAAACCTGTCACGGTTAGTCTAACGCAAGGGGACTCTAACCCATGATCCGTCTACCACATGGGATATTTTACGTCAGCACTGTAGTCTGTGCGAGCCGCATGCAGAATTCGAATCCCAGCCATTACTGAGATCGATCCATGGTCAATTCGTTAGGAGGCGAGCACTCTATCCCCTAAGAATTTATGAGTTTAATGGCTGCTGGATAGATTTTAAATTATTACTAGAATTAAATACATAAAGAACTTAGACAATATCACAAAATTCTCTTGAAAATAGTTAGAATTAAAATCAAAGTACTTCCGAGCTAGAGAAAAGAAAATGAGGATAATAATTTTTTTAGAATTAGTTAAGGTATTAAGATAGGAGGGTAGTTTGAAGAATTTGAACATTTATATGAAATTGTGCTGAGCAGAGCTTGGTTCGAGTAAAGATTTTACGTTGTATAAATTAGTTTTGAAATGTGACCGAAATGGTCGCCACATTTTTTCTGTTACTTTAGGCATCAAGTCAAGCGTGAGCTCATAAAACTAAGATCCTGAGAGAGATAAAGTTTTATATAACAATGGATAAAGATTATTTTAAAAAATTAAAGTAAAAAAAGTGAAAAAAATTCGCGATAAAAGCACTTAAAATTGCAAGAACTTCCTAATAAATTAGAATTTCGAAGGAAAAAAAAACCAGTAGCAACTCCAACTTCAACTCTTTTGTTGCAAATCAGCTGGCTGTAGATCGTCTCACCTGGTAATTTTTACAGCAACTTTAATTGTTAATAATTATCGAACCAATGCACAAAGTTTTTAAGTCTTACAGTTTTTGTGCGGCAAAACAAAATGTAATAAAGTTGAGCACTCAAACATTTGGTGATGCTTGCGATTTTTTAATTTAGAGAGATTAAAGTTTAAAAAAGACTATTGATGATATTATAGGCACTATTAGGATTCATATTGAAAGTATTTTAGCAAAACCCTTATTCTTCTTTCTTAATTGAATAGATTTGACTACGAATGATTTATTTTTATATATATTTTTCAGATTATGATATAAAACTGAATACTTATGCTGAAGACTACTTCTTCATCGATTCTCCGGTTGTATTGTATATTGCAGTCCATAATAGAAAAGATCTGGTAAACCCTTTCAGGAAAGGAGTGACTCTTAAAGGCGGTCACGGATATCGAGCCTTTGTTTCAATGGTATGAGCATTAAGTACGAATTTAGTAAAGTAGTATGAATTATTATCTTCATAAACAATCAAAACAACTTTTAGCAAAATAGTATGAATTACTATTTTAATAAGGAACAACCCAAACTATTTTCAGTAAACTAGTACAGATAACTATTTTAATAAGGAACAATCAGAACCATTTTCTGTTAAATAGTAAGAGTTACTATTTTAATAAGAAACAATCAAAACTACTTTGAGTAAACTAGTATGAATTATTATTCTAGTTAGGAACAATCCAAACTACTTTCAGTGAAATAGGATGAATAATATCTTAATAAGGAATAATCAAAACTAATTTCAATAAGATATTATGAATTACTATTTTAATAAGGAACAATCAAAACCATTTTCTGTAAAATAGTAAGAGTTGCTATTTTAATAAGGAACAACCCAAACTATTTTCAGTAAACTAGTACAAAAACTATTTTAATAAGAAAAAATGAAAGCAACTTTGAGTAAACTATTTTAATAAGGAACAAGGACCACTTGCAGTAAAATAGTATGAACAACTATTTTAATAAGGAACAATCAAAACTACTTTCAGTAAACTAGTATAAATAACTAATTTAATAAGGAACAATCAAAACTATTTTCAATAAAATAATACGAATTACTAGTTTAATAAGGAACAATCCAAACTACTTTCAGTGAAATAGGATGAATAATAACTTAATAAGGAATAGTCAAAACTAATTTCAGTAAAATATTATGAGTTACTATTTTAATAAGGAACAATCAAACCATTTTCTGGAAAATAGTAAGAGTTACTATTTTCATAAGTAACAATCAAAACTACTTTGAGTAAACTAGTATGAATTACTATTCTAGTTAGGAACAATCAAAACTACTTTTAGTAAAATAGTAGGAATTACTATTTTAATAAGGGACAATCAAAACTACTTTCAGTAAAATAATACGAATTACTAATTTAATAAGGAAAAATAAAAACTACTTTCAGTAATAAACTATGAATTACTAATTTAATAAGGAAAAATAGAAACTACTTTTAGTAAAAAACTATGAATTACTAATTTAATAAGGAACAATCAAAACTACTTTCAATAAAATAGTATGAATTACTATTCTAATTAAGAGCAATCAAAACTACTTTCAGTAAATCAGTATGAATTACTATTTTAATAAAGAAAAATCAAAACTACTTTTGGTAAAATAGTATGAATTACTATTTTTATAAGGAACAATGAAAACTACTTTCAGTAAAATAGTGAGAATTTTTAATAAGATACAATCAAAACTACTTTCAAAGAAATAGTAGGAATTACTATTTTAATAAGGGCAATCAAAACTATTTTCAGTAAAATAGTATGAATTACCATTTCATTAAGGTGGAATCAAAACTAACTTAAAAAAGAAATTCTAATTTTGTTCAGGAAAATTAAAATTAGTTTTGTAAGGAATTTTAATTTTTTTAAGGCACATAAAAACTAATTTCATAGAGGATACTAATTTTTATAAGGAACGTATACTGACATTAATGAATATAGTTTTTTGAATTATTATTTAAATTTTAAGGAATATTTATTTTCATTTAAAGGCTTCGGAAAAATTAACTAAAACTAGAAGTAGTTTTTCTTTAAATAAAATATAATTACACTGTAATTGAAAAATAAGAGAATGTATGTTTAAATATGATCAAATTCAGTGTTTTGTCATTTAAAATCACATAGTTTTATTGGTTTCAAAAGTTTGCAATACATTACAATTAAATTTTCTTCAACTATCATTAGATGAAATAATTTAAAATAACAATTTTAAAAAAAATTTATGCATGGATAACGCAGGCTGTTTTTCTTTACATCAAATATGAATATAATTATTTATATTAATTGTAAAACAAGAGAATGTATGTTTAATTATTTTTAAATTCAGTATTTTGTTATTTAAAATCATATTGTTTATTTGTTTCAAAAGTTTGCAGACATTACAGTTCAAATTTTTCATCTATCATTAGATAAAATATATTAAGAAAACAAAAATAGTTTTTTTGACATTTTTTTTTAAACCTGGATAACTAATTACCTTGAATAAATGCATTTTATAAGTGCTTGCATAAAATTTTTTTATTTAAATAATAAGGAGAAAGTGAAATTAAAATTAATAGAGTCAAACTTTTAACTTCTTTGATCTATTGAAACAATAGCTTCCACGTAGTCTTCCTCTCAATGTAACGCAAATGCGGGTTAGTTCCATCAAAAAGTCCTCCACGAAGGCAAATTTCTCCCAATACTTGATCTAGGAATTACCTGTCTTCTGGATTGGGTTCAAAATTACAAGACTACAGAGATGAACACTAGTTGTCGTATAACCCCAAAATTGGATCGGCTGTTCAACGACGGTTATAAAATGAGATGAAGAAACTTAGATATTTATTAAATTTACAAGAACTCACTTTATCGTAATGGAAAATAAAAGTGCTTTATTTCTTGATAAATAACACAAATGAGATTCTTGGTGTAAGAACAGATAAGTCCAGTTCAAACAGCATAACAAAAGCAACACAAAAACTGACATTATCAAAATAGAAATCTAAGTTGCTGTATTTATTTAAACTTTATTATTTGTTGCTTTGTTACTTGCACAAATTTAATTGTTGATCTATTATTGTTTTGGAAATTGTTGGTGTGAAGCAAATTTAAACTCAAAATAACAATAAATTTTATTGTTGCTGATGATGCTTTCGCCAAAAATATTATAATGTGATTTTCCTTCATTGAAACATTAAAAAGAAATTGACGTGATTTTCAGTCGTTTTTCCTCCGATTTAAAAATTTTTCTACAGTCAGCGACATCAGTAGAAAAAAATAATTTTCCTTTAACTAAAAGTAATAACTCTGGAAGCTTTTGTCCCGTTTGTTTTTAAGAATTCTTTTTGAATCTTAGTAATTTTTAATTTTTTAAGACCATCAGCCTAATTTAAGAAATCTTGTATAATTATCAAAAGTTATAGCAATAAAACGATATATCAGGTTCAGGAATATTGTTATGCATCATGTGATAATATTCTTATAAAAATTTTTTAGGCTGAAGTAGAACGACTCCCTTATCCATATAGTACTAATTGTACAGATTATATCAAGCTCTGGCGGGAAAATGGTGGCAAAGGACCGCTAACTCAAGTAGTAAGTTGATTCAAAAATTTCTACAACTGCTTTATGTTGACCTGCTAACGAACTCTTTAAAATATTTGTTGTTGTTGTTTCTAATGCAACTTGCCAATATCCCCAAATCTGCTTGGTGAAACCAAGCGAATTTTAAAGCATAAGGTGCGTTTCTCGTTTTTCAGTAGAGCCATCTATCGCCAAGATTACTACTTCAGCCACGCACACCACACAACCCGCTTATAAGACAGACCTATTCATACATCCATTCATTCAGCCATTAATTCACAGATGACCTTAACCAGAAAACGATCTATCTCCAATTCAGTACCCCCAGTGGTATAATTTGTCATGGGAACATGGAGGACATTGTGACCCGACATATTTAAAGTTCACCAGTCACCATTTACTACACGGGAAGACTTCAGTCAGCAAGGAATAAACCCATGACCTCTCAAACATAAGCCCAACACCCTACCAACCAGGCTCTCCGGTCTTCTTTAATATTTAAAATGGTCTATTACTGAGTAATCCTATTGATGAAAAATATTTAAAGAGCAACAGTAACCAAAAATTAAGTAAGAATTATGAAAATAAGTTTATAAATGACAACTGCAAACAATTGTGGAAGTTGGTGTGATGAAATTTTTTTTTATGTATTTTGATTTATTGAATATTTTGTAAGGAACCGTATGAATGTTAATAGTTCGTAAGTGATTTGAGGGGTTTATTTTTAACAATGAATTAAAAAATTTATTAATAGTATTAAAATTCATGTTTAGTTAGGACAAGTTTGACTTTTATAAACTTAATTCCTTACGCAATTTATTTAAAGCGTTAATATTTTTTTGAATATTTTACGCATGCTTTGCGATATAATTGTAATCATTATAAAGGGTTTTTGTTAAAAAGAACGTATTTATGTGCATTCAGGATTAAACAGTGCGCATGCGTCGTCATCGTATGCGTTGCTATGGCTACCGCTGCTGTTTGATATTTTTTTTAGAATTGTTTTTTCATTTTAAATCTATTATGAAATGATTTGGCTAGTTAATGGGACCAGAGAAATACTATAAAATACTGCTCGAGTTGTAAATAAAAAGGAATTTCATCATTTGAATGATGGTTCTATTTTTCTTGTTTTAATTAAGAATCAGAAATTCTAACCTACAGTTCAATGCGCGTGTGGCAACAAACAATGTTGCTTGATTTTGCATGGCAAAACTGCTGACTGAATTTGAAAGATCATGGTTGAAGCTTTTAGAAATAGTGTCCTTTTTACCCTTGCGAAATTTGTATCGATTAAAATGAGAAGTGGAAGTTAATGTCTCTCTAGTTTTAATACTTGCAATTTGAAAATCATTCCATAGAATTCTGATATTTCTATTATAATGTGCAATCAATTCCAGTGGCATTTAAAATATAAATTAGCTTTCAACTTACTGCTCACGCAATGCAAATTCTGCATGGTTAAAATAACATCATTTCTAGCATGATCTGTAAAGCGAGCTATGGCAGCTATAGTTCCATTTGCTACAGTGAATCTTTGCGAAGCGGGATTTTCCACACTTGTGACAATAAAATCAAAATATCGAAATCGATTGAATGTTGAACATGACATGCGCGTTGCTTTGACGAATACCATCCCGCAATCCAATTTATTAATTAAGGAAAAGCAGCATCAACCTTCACATTAAAAATTTAAATTTTAAAAATTTTGTGTACTATTAAAATAATAAAATTAAATGTTTACTATTAATTGATGTTTTTTGCAATAATTTTTTTCACAGGGGGTGGTCCGTGACTTCTTAAAAAATTTTAAAAGGGGTCTATTATACCAAAAAGGTTAAGAAACACTGAGTTACAATGTTAATTAAATATAGCGCCGTGGCGCACATCGAATTTGTTGCAATATACGTATTTTACTTAACTTAGATTTATTATTTGTATATGTATTTTTCTTAACCGTTATATATTTTTGTTTTAAGTACCTGACACTTCGATTCATAATTATTTTGTTTATATTCTACATGGCATCATGCCTTTTATTGTGTTACGTAAGAAATATAAAATGAAAGAATTAAAATCTTTGTGTAAGAATATAGATGTGTCATTAAAGAGAATCGATACCTGACCGGCTTGGCTTACTTGAAATAGCATGGAAAGAACAATTGAAAACGTAAACAAATGCCTCGTATCAACAACCAATCAGGATCGATACAATATACTACGTCACTTGCAGATATCCCATCGTTGCTAAAAGAAAACAAATTGCATTGAGTTTATACTAACACAATGTAAACAATTTATAAAAGTGGTTCCATTATTTTGATCAATCCTTGTATTTTTTAAAGGAGTTAAAGTTTCTTTGAAGAAATTACGAGTTCAAGGAGTCCAACAACATATATAATTTTATTTAATTCATAGTTTGTACAAGTCAGTTATTAATTAATTAATGCAAAGTTTTAATTAATTAAATAAAGTTATAATTTTTATTGAATAAAGTAAAATGTAGAAAATTCATTGATGTTTGTTTTTTTAATAGGAATGCATTGAATATTGCAAATTAAATTTCATAAAATCTATTGGAGAGTGTGTGGATGAACATATATCTTATTCTCACTTAGAAGAACTCTGTGCAACAGGTAAGGGGACATAAATGCGCCATTTTTAGTGCCGTGAAAAATGCCTCAACGAAAATAAGTAGTGCGATATTTACGCTGAAACTAAAGAGGTTATTTTCTTGGTTGAGCAAACCACTTTCATTTCGAAGCAATCGGACAAAATAATATTAGATCAAAAGTCAGTTACTTTAGAACATAGCAATCAATTTTTAACCTTTCTGAAGACTTTTTTTCTAAAAGTTGAGTAAATGTTACCATGAATGACTGAAATCAAAAGAATGTCGACTTTCACCGGTGAATATCAACAATCACATAGTTGCTTTGGTGAATGTGAGAAATATGTGTTATATCCGAATTGATATTAATTTATTCCTTGATATTGTTATATTTATTTGATATTTTAATATCTTCTGAGGATAGATTAGGAAAAACATCTGTGTTCGGAGTACCTGTTAAAAACATACCAGGTAGTGGCACTGAACCTTAAATACATTGATGTAGGGTTTACCGGGCAGTGGCACTGAGCCTCAAATAAACATCAGTGAAGGGTATACCGGGTTGTGGAACTAAACCTTAGAAAAACATCAGTGTAGGGTATACCTGGTAGTGGCACTTAACGAGACCTAGTATATACAAGTATTTCGGTCATTTACCAAAGTGACTATGTGATTGTCAACATTCGCCGGTGGAAGTCAACAACCTCCAACTTCGGTCAATCACAGTAACTTAAACACAAACAAACAACATGATATTCAAATAATTGGCATTACGCAGTGATCTCTTGTTTTTTCTAATGCGAAAATCCTGATCAGCTTTAACGCTTTCGCGCCGTTTGTTATGTGACAGCATTAAACATTCTCAGAATATAAAACTGGCAGCCACACCAGGGCTCGAAAAGACTCAGAAATTTTACCCGTCCCCGAGGACGGCTTGCCCAACAATGTACCCGTCCTCCTTTGAAACTAACCAGTCGCTTCTAAATAAATAAAAATATTATTTTCTCTTATTTATTACAAACAATTACATAAATTGCACAATGAATTAGTAGTTACTAGGATTACAAATACTAGGATTACATTATACAGTAATAAAAGAAATACTAGGTTACTAATAGTAAAACCTAGTATTTCTGTTATGAAATAATTTCTTTCATTTATGAAATAATTTAAATGACAAAGGTCAAAGTTATCCGGAATGTCAATTTATCGGAGGGTACTACGTTTTTTAAATGAATCAAATATGACGTTTGCCTGGTCCACAATCAAGCCAATGATTTACAGAGGTTTCTGCACAGAAATCTGAAAGAGGTTTTCCATTTAGGTAGACGTTCATAAATGCGTTTAACGCTTCTTGTTTAAGACCAGTAAATAATGTGTTTTTATGTAAGTTCATTGCTGAAAAGCCCCTTTCAACCGCTGCAGTACTCCCAGACAGAGAAAACATCAATTCCACCATGCGCAGTATGTTGGTGTTTTTCGAGATTAGAAGGTCATTTTGAGAAGTGAGGCGCTAGACTCTAGTAAGATAACAAAAATTGAAAATGTATCACGAACATTAACGGGAAAATGGTCGTCAGCGCGGACGCTGGATTCGAGAAATTTGTTGTCGGCGGGGAATTTTTGGGCGGGCGGGCGGTTTTTCGAGCCCTGAGCCAAATTATTTCTTTAACAGTTTGTTTTTAAAATAAATAAGCTGTTAAGTAGCGGTTCGATTTATTTTATTCACCACTACTTGGTTTAAAATAAAATTTATATACTTATTTCTTGAATTAAATAATTATATATGTTACCGCTAATGACAAAAATTAGTGAAGGTTGATTTCCACCGGTGAATGCTGACAATCGCATAGTCGCTTTGGTAAAAGTCCGAAACATATACTAAGTCTAGGTAAGTGACACTGCCCGGTATACCCTACACTGATATTTTTTAAGGGTTAGTGTCACTACCCGGTATACCCTACACTTTTTTTGAGGTTCAGTGTCACTGCCCGGTATACCCTACGCTGATGTGTTTTTAATGTTCAGTGCCACTTCCCCGTATACCCTGCACTGATATCTTTTAAGGTTGAGTGCCACTACCCGGTATATCCTCTACTGATATTTTTTTAAGGTTCAGTTCTGCTGCCACGTATACATTTGCCCGGTATATCTTACACGGATGTTTTTTTATTTAAAGTTAAGTGCCACTGCTCGGTACGCATTTAATCAGTTTTCGGAACACTTATGTTTCCCCTAATCTATCCTCAGCAGATATTAAAATATCATATAAATATAAGATCAATGAATAAATTAATATCAAATCGGATATAGCAAATATTTCGGACATTCACTAAAGCGACTATGGGACTGTCGACTTTTACCTGTGAATGTCAGCAATCTCTTGATTTTGGTCATTCACCGTAACATATATTTTCACATTTTTATCTTACTCTATCACAAGGCGAAGTAGCTCTCTCTTTACCTTGTACATAGTCCTGGTTTTTCGCGTCTTTTTATTATTTAACCGGGCTTATTTTAATTGTATTTATTTCATGCACCTACCATTCGCCGCTAATAACCCTTTTGGATGCTCACTCACGTGACACCACAGGTGTGGTCTTCCTGACCTTTAGGATTATTCTTGAATACGTCCCCCTTTCTTTTTTTTTTCTTCATGTTCATCTCGATTTATCTATTAATTTCGCTTTTAATTATTCGATTTATGCTATCACCGGCGAATTGGTTAGTGCCTTCGAGATATCTTTGCGAATTGTGGAACATAATTACATTAGACTTACATTTAAAGTAAAAGCAAAATAAGTCTGTCTAATTAGCAATACCCACACTTAACAAACTTCCTACGCATCTTCTTGCGGTAGCTAAACTTATGATTTTATGTATTGTTCTGTGCTTGGAAAATATGATTTAGTTATTTTCTACATTAACTGCACGTAAATGATTAAAAAGTTTATGCGAAACACCACCATGTTGGAAGCTTTTAAAATGTTGTTAAAATTTCCAAAAAATGATTACATTTTCTGCGTTTAATTTGACAAGTTGTCACAAAAGTTATATCTATAATTTTAAATTGGAGGGTATAGATGTGTGTGCGTCGAGGGGCAGGTTTCATCTTTGAAATTTGATTAATTTGCAGGTCATGAAACTATTACCTATGACATTATCAAGGATTGTTTTAAGCAATGCCAGCCAGCATGTGTGTAAGTCATTACCTTTATTAATAAAATATTTTCCATTATATGTTTATAAAATGTATTATTGTTTATTAAACAAAAAATACAGAGTTATTTAATTATCTCTCTATGCTTTATTTATGACTCTTAATTTTTAATTATGATTATAGGCTTTAATTTCGATACTAATCTCTAACTATGATTCTATTATGATAAAATAGAGCTAGAACAAGAAATGGTAAAAAGTTAATACTTATTGAAGAAATTACGGAGAAGAAAAAAGGGATTTTTTTCTTAATTTAGCTGCCACTTCAAATTTTGAAAAGTTTGCAATCTAGACAAGTGAAGTATAATTTATGATATACCATGTTTATGCGTGCTGAATCAAATAAGACCGAAATCACGCCGGTGGGACTAATAATTTCGAAGTTAGAATTTGCTATCATTAGGAAGAATATTTTTTTTTAAACAACGCAAAACTCGCAGTCAGACTTACAAAACATCGTTAAAAATGTAATAAGTGCCTTGAAATTTTCATTTACGATAAAGATGATACTAAATAAAGAAAATGGTTTATATGATTTTAAAAATCTTTATTATATTTCAATTACCAGTTTTTAACCATTTAAACGCCAATGTTCCATTTTTGGAGCATTATCCCCTTTTCAAAAGGACTGGTAATTTAACAGTTTAATTGTCAGTATTTATATTGGATTAGAAAATATTCGTAACTACTAAAATGTATTAATCATGTTGTTGTGATCTACGTCAGAAATAAATCACCAATTTTTCTTCCAAAATGTGAGTTCGATTGAGCGTGAATAAATATTTTGTCCATCACAAATCATATTATCGTTTAGCATAACTGAACAAATCGCAATCCTTTTAGGGACAATTTTAATTAAAAAATACTTTCGTTATTCCATTAACAACCAATACGTTACTCTGTCATGTATTTTTGCTATAAAGATAAACATTTTTATTTATTTCGGTGAAACTAAAGCTGTGATGCACATCCCACCGGAAACCCATGAGACTTATTGTTTCAATTACGTATAACTGATCTTCTAAGTAAATGACTTAAAGTTATGACCCGTTCCTGCATTGCGAATGGAAATGTATTATGTCTGTTTCATTTCAGGGAAAACTCATACGAAGTCACCTATGAAGAACTTGAACTTGATTCTCAAAATGTAAGACTTATACTTTTGTACTAATGCATACGGTTTTTATATGTATTTTTAGTTACTCCATTGAATGCTTAAAATGATTGAAAGTTAAAGAAAAATATTTAACTAAACCTGATAAAAAATTTAATATTTAATATCTCATTACTTTCTAATTTAATTCATATTTCCTTTATTGCTTTTTCTCATATCCCAATATTGTAATATTAATTATATGTATAGGATTCCCCATAATTAATAATCTGAATATTAATATTCTCAATATTAATTCAAAATATTAATATTCTCAATACTAATTCTAAATATTAATATTCTCAATATTAATTCAAAATACTAATATGCTCAATATTAATTCTAAATATTAATATTCTCAATATTAATTCAAAATATTAATATTCTCAATATTAATTCTAAATATTAATATTCTAATTAATGTTCTATAATTAATGAATATTATATAATTAATAAATATTTTATAATTAATTAATATTTTATAATGAATTAATATTCTATGATTAATTAATATTTCATAACTAATTAATATTCTATAATTAATTAATATTATATAATTAATTAATATTCTAAATAAAAAATAAGAGCGAAGCAATGAAATTTTACAAGCTTTTTTTAAAATTATCTCAGGAAATAAATAAAATAAATTCTAACTCACTAATCCACTTAAATGTAGTATTACTTTTAATGCCACTTTTTAATTCTATCTGCTAACTCTTGCCTGAATATCATTCCCGATTTATAAATTTCCTATCTTTTAAAAACCATGAATTTAAAATTGAAAAAGCTCAGATATTTTCAGTCTTAAATTTCTTTTAAGGGACGAAAGAGATTAAAAATTTTGAAAAATGAACAAAGAGAGGGATTTCAATTTTTTTTTTCTCATTTATATTGAAAAAGAAATCATGAAAAATATTTCTTCATGTGATTTTTCCAGTGGTCGAAAAAACTACATTTTCTTTGTAGTTAACTGCAACTGCAACTACTTTATTATTAAATGTAGCAACTACAAACTACTTTTGAAATGTAGTCACTACTTCGCTCCTTTTAGAAGACAAACTTAGCGGGAGAATTTAATTTTCAAGGATATTCAAAATGATTTTAAATTTAAAAAAATTGGCTTGGTTAAATATGAGGAGATTTTAATAAGTTTATATGAAATAGTTTTTTTTTTATTCTAAAGCACTTTTTACGAATTTTTTGTTTTAACCTTCAAACTCTGTGCTTTTCCTGACAGTGATTTAAGGAATGCTAGGAAGTTATCAAATATTTGTAGTTTATGTGTTCAATGTTTTTTCTCACCCTCCAGAAAATAAAGTACTTTTCAAAAAACAAAGCAAAATAACAGACCACACTGAATAACCTTCGGTCTAATAATCGGATTTTCACGTTCTAGGACTGAATCTTAATGGTTTTGAGGGATACAAAAAATATTTTTTCGAACGTCCACCGTTTATTAGCAACCATTATTTTTTAACCAATTAAAATTTGAAATATATTTCGTGAAAAAAACTTCTAAGGAAAATTATTTGTAGTTATTGTTTCTAATGGCACTTGCCAATGTCAGCAAGTCTGCTCGGTGAAAGCAAGTGAATTTCGAGACAGAGTGCGTATATAGTTTTTCAGTGGCACTATCTATGGCCAAGAATACGACTTCAGCCTCACGCACTTCACAATCTGTTTTATTGGATGGACCCATTTATTCATCCACAAATCGTAATTTTGTTATGGAAACATGGAGGACTTTGTGACCCGAGAGATTTAGAGTGTACTAGTCACCATTTACTACACTTCGGCCTGCAGGGATTGAACTCATGACCTTCTACTTATGGGCCCAACGCCCTACCAACAAGGCTATCCGGCCTAGAAAATTTATTTGCTTAACCCTATCCCAGGCAGTGATAATCAGTATGGCAATACTAAATAAATTCTTCAAGCCTGTAGAATCATTCATTAGAACACGTACTCATTAAACTACGTAGAAACTTTCGTAAGAAATGCATGTAGTGTGGAAAATGACTTGAAATTTAATTTACAAAACAAAGAATCATTCTTTAAACATAAACTTAGCTTCAACTAGAAGAATTTTTTTCAAAAAACGTAGAATGTTGGCTTCTTCCTGTGTATATAATGTTTAGGCATAATGACTGGGGATTTGACTTTTGATTAGCTTTTTATTCAGATATTCCATTCCATTTTTTATTTTTATTTTCCCTAAGATTTCGTTTCTTAGTTTAAAGCAGTACCAAAACGTCTATTTTTACATTTAATTTTTAAATTTATAAACTTAATTTAAAAGGATTTTGACAATAACTACAGATAAATAAATTAAACTAGGAGGCTTCGCCCCCTGCTCTCTGGCGCTCGCCAACCCCCGGAACTGCTTTCGCAGTTCATTTCGGATTGCTTCGCAATCCGATGCTCGCTTTGCTCGCTCATTGGATACGTTCTTAACGTCTAGCTTTTGTATACTTTTTTGAACACTGAAGTTCCGAAAACTTTTCACTGTAGAAAATTCTAAACCTGTGCATTTCAATATTAATTTGAAATTGCAAACAGTTCACATATTTTTCTTAATCACACTATTCTAAATTTCAGTTGTTGAGAAAAGTAACTGTTGTAAGTTTTGTTTTAAAGTCTTTCCCACCAGAGGGCTAAAACCATGTGTTGTAAAACAATATGAAATAGTACTGAACGCCGGATGTAAAGCATCGGCTTCGATGAAGATAATTTTGTGAGAATTTTTTTGATAATTCGGTGAGAATTCACCCGATTAGACATATGATGCTCACTACGTGCTCTTGCGCGCCGAAGCCTATCAATTAAAACGTATTAGCGTTTTATATAATATAGATTAGCCATATGATGCTCACTACGTGCTCTTGCGCGCCTAAGCCTATCAATTAAAACGTATTAGCGTTTTATATAATATAGATCAGCCATATGATGCTCACTACGTGCTCTTGCGCGCCGAAGCCTATAATTAAAAATGAAAACTGTTGCCAACGCGAGAAAAGAAATATCATCGGTTTTATTGATACATACGTATTAGCGTTTTATATAATATAGATATACGCATTAATGCGTGGTAATAGTACAATGGTGTGTTCAGGCTCTGTCAAAATAGAATGATACTAGATGAAACTAGATAGAATGATACTAGATTAATAGAATGATTCAATTATAATCTCACAACGACTTGAAAAAATTAACCCCAGGAAATAGCTGGCAGGTATGTTTTTCAAATAAATTCACCACCAAATGTATTTAATATATTTTCAACTTTAATTTTTTTAGTGTACACTGAAAATGGAAGGATGCAGGTATGTTTGATTTACAAAAATATAATCTGTGGATATTTCCGTATCGTGATCTGTCGCGCCAACTGCAATCGCCAAGTTGACAAATAGATTTCAAACTTGCAAATTTTTTTTAAGAAAAAGAATTTAGATTTTTTGGTGGAATCGAAAATACTTTTCAAATTGGGTCCTTTCTGTTAGGTTTTTTTTTTTCTTTTTTTTTTTTTTTTTTTTTTAATTTCCCGCAGGCCGCTGCCCGGAAGTTTCCAATTCTTGGCAATCATTCTGCCTCAAATCACGATATGGAAATCCCCACTATAATCTTTTATTTTCATTCTTTGAGTTTAATAATTTCCTCCTGAATGAGCATCAAAAATCTGACATTTTAAATATTTTATGTCTTCGGTTTAGTGACATCTAAAATTTTAAATTTATGTCAGTTTATCTCGTAGTACTAATTCATACCAATCAATATTATATTTTACTGTCCAGCTTCCACAAAAAAAAACTAAAAAAATTTTATAAAACCGTTTGAAAACTCACTTCTTAGCTATTTTCAAAACTATTCTTTCTGTAAGAGAATCCCGTGTTCCAAGAATATTAATTTAAAAATATAAAGCAAGTATTGTAGTCGTAAGTCACTGTTGGCGCGATTGTTCTTGTTTTCCAGTGGCGCCATCTATGGCCAAGAATTCGGCTTCTGCCACGCCCATACGTCACACCTGTACTGTTCATACAGCCATCCATACAGCCATTCATTTATCCACAGATCGTGATTTTCACCTGAACTAGAGTATGATCACTCTTCAATCCAGTACCCCCAGGGGTATAATTTGTTATGTGCGCATGGATGACTTTGTGACCCGATTGATTTAGCGTGCACCAGTCACCATTTACTACACGGGGAGACTTCGGTCGGTTGGATTCTAACTCCCGTTCTCACGAACGTGAGTCTAGCGCCCTACCAACCAAGCTATTACGGCCCATACAGCAGTTAGTTTTCAAATATTCGTAGAGAAATTTTACTACCACTTTTAAGATTTCATTTCTTTCTCTATATATTTACACAAAGACTGGCACGAAGCCATATGGAACATAAACAAACTAATTAAGCATCAAAGTTACAAGGTACACAGTAAAAATATACCACTGTCATATTAAAATACATAAACAAATAATAAATCTAAGTTAAGTGTAAGAAGTAGACGAGAAAGAATTATATTTCAACTATTTCGATGTGCGATACGGTTTCTGTATTTCATTACCTTATCGTTAATTAACATTCATACGCATGTAGAGAAACTTAGTTCAACTTTAATACGCCATTTGGCTGAAAAAGATTAGCTGGCGCAGATGTCATAGACCACATATGAGGGTATGGGAGCTCGTCTTCTTTTTGAAGTGCAAGTGTCCAGCTTTGTTTAGATAGTCAAATTGGCACAAGTTTGCATTAAAGCTGAGGTTAAGTAGACAGAATGGAAACCTTTTTTTTTAACTCTAAGTTTAAAAATCAAACTTTAAGTTTAAATCTTAAATCAGTGATTTATAATTACCGTTCACCTTTCCTCAGCTTTAGTAATATTGGTGAAAATAGAGAAAGAAAAAAAAAATGTCAAATCACTCAGTTCTTTGTTATATCTATATATTGTTATATATAGACATAAAGAAGAATATTATTTTTATTATATTATAAAAAAATAGACAACTATACCATATTCAAAAATTACATTTTTCTATTTCTTTAAAAACAAAGCGTTGAAGTTTTTTTTTTTAAATATACAGTTATAAAAAATATCTAAGTATTATTCCCTTTCATGTTCACAGACTTCAAGAAGTTGATATAAAGTTTTCGTTTCGCCAGTTTCAACTGACACGGCAAGTTTTTCAACCTAAATTTGATGTAAGTCCCTTTTTCATATAAATTTCTAAGTTGAATCATTTAGATATAAATATAATTTCTTGGTAAAATTTTAAGTTTAATTTTGAAATAGATTTTACACTGTTGGAATTTAAAAAAATACGCATGTGAAATAAATGTGTTCTATTTAGTGACAAAAGAATACTAATACACGATACCAATAGGGATATATTTCATGTCCTCACAATGGTCGGAGCGAGCAGGGAAAGGTGTACGGATAGACCAGCAATAGTTCGTTCACCAGGAGTTGGCACTCCGCTCCGCCTTCATTATGTGGTATGCGACTATACTATTTCGCTATTTTCGGGAGAAGGATATGAACAATCCTGAACAAGGTAGCTATTTGGCGATCGTATTACAGAAGTATTTATTTCGCAATGTTTATGTGCATTTTTTTAGCAATAAATTTTATGATATTTCTCTCTTTTGAGTGAATAGTTTGTCCTGTTCGAGACATTTTGCTGGGAGAACTGCAGTTTTTAAATTTAAAATATATTTAATTAGCTTGAGTAACGAAAGGTATAATAGCAGAAAGAGAAGTGAAGTGACTGAGAAAAAATTACTGTTTGCGTCTGGCGCGCATTAAATTAGCGGGTTATCTCAATTTCAAGAGAAGAGATGTGTCTCCTCTTACTCCCGCGCTTAAATGAACACTGCGTCCGAGAAAGGGGAGCCAAGTGCCAACTCCTGGTAAACGAACTATAACGTCATCATCAGTCATGGATCTTTTCATTGTGTAGCTCTATCTTCTTCTCCGTTTTATATCTTGCCTATTCGCAGGACAAATCATAGGTGCCCTTAAACTTTGACTAAACAAGACTTGTTTAATCATTAAATAATTAAGGCTTTTTCGGCAGTTTTTGACCAAATTGCAAACAAAATATCATAAAAGCTAATAATACATATCCTACATCGTATGTGTTTGAATTTTGTAAGGGTAGTAACACTGCAGTTTCTACCAATAAATAAATACTCGGGATGTTAAAGATGAGAGCACTACACGTTCGTAAATACCAAAGTTTGCTGTCTACCTTCAAACTCGCTAATTTGATCTTCCTAAGAGCATCAATCAAAACGAACGAAAACTGAAAGAGGAATTGGAGGTGTTGCCTAAACCACCATTGTTATCCCTCGACCCTGCGCCACCGGATTTTGATTTATTGTGAAACTATATTATCTAAGTAGCAAATACATTTGAAAATTTGGATGGTAACCAAAATTCTATCCCTAGATAATCAGCCCACAAACTAAGTGATTTTAATCAAAAAAATATTTACAAACTATGTGGCAAAAGGTGTCCCACTGTAAACTGACACTTTTCCTAATGGCACCGAAGTCAAGAATCAATGGCTGCGATCAATAAGCGGGTGGGTGACCACTTCGATCAGATTACGTAGGGACCGAGGGTGCGCGAAATCGGCCCTCGTTAAACTGTTCTACCGTAAAGTGCTCGACTTCGCGCGCGGATCGTTGGGTTACCATAGCGGAAGAGCCATCCATCTGCAGAGGATCAAAATTGTGATGGCATGTCTTCAGATCATCCTTCTGGATGTTTCTCAAACCGTTTCCAATTACTCATTATGCAGCTGTGCGGTGTGAATAAAATACGTATAGTTTGTCTACAGCAAGAACTCCCCCCACCACAAAGCCTGAACCCACCTGCTGTTACGGAAACAAGAATGTCGCATTTCAGGGAGGGTATCTTCTTTTCACTCTAGGGTCCACATAATAGACAAGAGAAAAAGATGACCATTCTCTAGCGGACCCGAGCCAAACCCTGTCTTAAACAAAGACCCCACACTCCTATTTAAAATAGTTATACATCGTTACCATAATCACCGCCACGGGTCCAGACTAGGCTAGGCTTGGGGAGTTCTTACTTTAGACAAACTGTATCCGTGTCAAAAGGTTGTTGATAATTAGAGGATTAAATAATTGATTGAAAAGAAAATTTTTTAGAAAAATTATGTTTTGAATTCAGTGTAAATATGACTTTATTCTCTTTTTTCTTACAGAGCATTGAAGTTTTCAGTTATGTTGGTGGTTATATGGGCATTTGGTTAGGTATAAGCTTGGTATCCATATTTGACGTTTTGGAATCCATCATGATGTTACTTTGCTTTTGGATAAGGACCAAAAAAAGAAGGAAAAAACTAAACATAAAATACGCATAAAGTATGACAGTGGAGCTAAGGCGAAATACAGTTTTTACATGAAGGGATGCCAACTGTTCTGCTTTCTGCATAAGTTTTAATGAATTGGTAGCAAATTAAAAAGTGAAACTTGCTGAATAAGGATAAATACGACTACTCCTTAAAAGAGTACGTACAAGAAAACCGCAATAAAGTTGCATTTCATACGATACTTGGAATTTTTGATGTGTAGTGTTGGAAAAATTATTTTAAATGAAAAATACTAAACTAAAATTAACTTAAATTTCTTTACCACTCGAGAAAATTTATTACAAAGCGGATCAAGTTGGCATCTTTGTACATGTTTGGGTTGTTCTTTTTATTTTATTTCGCATTGTTTTATTTTATTTTTATTGTTCATTTTTTATTGTTTATTTTTAATGTATTAAATCATATGCTTATCTTCCTATGTATAAAAATTTAATAATGGTTTCCATTAGTGTACGTTCCTTTATTATTAGCTAGAAAATCACGTGGTAGGATCCTCATTTCCATAAAATTAATAGAAGTCATAAAGGTATTGTTTTTCTATAAATACTTTTGTATCCCTAACTTAAAGGCATTTTCCTGTACTGCTATTGATACGCTTTTAATTGAGGAGTTTAAAACTAAGAGAATTGTTGTTTTTTAATTATTATTATTTTTAAAATGTAATTCTCCGCTACATTTTAAGATAAAGAAAAGTTGTTTAATCTTATAAACCGTTTTATAGTTATTATTTATGTGCAAATAACATTAATATACTGTTATAAATATCGGTCTGTTAAAAGTTAAATGAAAAAAGATCTGTTAAATGATATAGAACTTTACGATCAGCTTCATGCACAATGCGAAAAATTAAATTACGGTAAGCGAAAATATTAAATTTGTTTAAACAATATAATATTAAAGCACTATAAATGTTATTTTAAAAAATGATTACTTGGGAAAATTACTTCTGTTCACCAATAGATCTAAATATTTATAATACTAATATATTATTATATTTGGGCGTGGGAATAGGGGGCACAAGCGTAAGCAAAACAAAATTCCTTTTAGTACAAACATGTTAAGTGAGTAATTTTAATTTTAGTAGAAAAACTGTTTTCTGCCAAAAAATAACAATTACCTACTTTGAAGCAATCATCGGGGTTGATGAGCGGTAGCGAGTAGGGGGCTTTGCCCCCTAGCATTTTGATATTCTAGCTCATGTAAATATTTTATTTATACTTTTATTTATATTTATACTTTTTTTATACATTTTATATTTATATTTATACTTACGACTTCTTTTTATTCTATTTATTTAAATATTACGCGAATTTTACTTATTTTTTGTACATGGAAATATTAAAATCATTGTTTCACAATGAAGCTTTCACTAAAAAGTATTTAATTTAGAATATTTAAAAAAAAATTAAAAAAATACATTAACGATATCTTCAACTATAATGGAAAACCAAACGATCTCAGATATTTCCATCCTGCTAATGACTAAAATAATTGCCTAGTTAAACAATCGAATGAAATAAGTAGTCGTGTTCCATTCATGTGTTCGCTTTAGCCACTTATTTCTTTAAAAAGGTGGAAATCATTCTCTCCCCCACCCCTGTTCAGAGATTATCGTATGCCATATATTGATCGGACGGTCCTCTCTGTTTTCATTTTGTCACGCATGCGCAAATCTCATTTAGTAGTAAGACTGTGTCTATGCGGGTGTCGTGGATTTTACTACTACTCTATTTTGATATTGGTTTTGTTTATATTTCATATTTGGCATAATTTTGATAATTTTTCTAAGTGCAGCAATCAGTGCAAGTGCAATTGTTGGATTGGATTACTGCAATTTGATGAATACCATACTGTAAAGCAGAATCGATTACTTCTTAAGAGCTTTCTGAATTTCAATTATCTTAATTTTGTAGAATAAATGTTTACGTAGTACGTGGCGTTAATTAGGCTGTTCTATTCGATTCAATGCTAATTATGAATGCAATGTTAATTGCAAGTCATGCTAATTTTAATTAATTTTCAATGAAGTGCTGTTATAAATAAAATGCCTTTTAAAATTCGCAAATAAATTTTGAATTTCACTTCAGTTTTGCGATGTTAATAAAATATTTAAAATCAATTATGATTTTGACTGTTGCTAATTATTAATTGAAGAATATATATTGAACTAAACATTTATCGAATCATAAACATTACTTATACTTAATAAAGTCTAATAATATAAAGTTACTTAATAAATAAGGTACTTAATATTTGACAATTCATTTATTTTGTCATGATTATTTTTAAAAAATGAATATCAATTTCTACTTCTATAATATATGATTATTATCTTGTATGTAACGATAAAAGATTCATAATTATTACCTTTGGCAAAATTTATGAGATTTTTGATGTAAGTATTAAAAGTGTAGAGTTATGTTAAGATTGTGATACTAAGTTCTATGTTAACATATCAAATATATCAAAGTATCAGTTACTGGGAACAATTTTTATATCTAAAGAACGAATATTTTTTAACATTTAAATTAAAATTGTATTAGCTTAAACAAAACTTTATAGTAGATATTAATACATAGCCATCAAAATTGTATCACAAATAATAATGAAATACTGAAACTTAGTGGAAATATAAAAGTCAATAAATATCTAAAATCTTAAAATAAATTTAAGAAAATTCTGATCGTAAAAAAAAAAAAATTTAAATCAAAGAAATAACCTTTTAATGTATAGTAAATTATTTATGCATTGGATTTAATATTATTAAAAACGTTTATTAATATTAGAGTAATATTAAATAAGAACATTCAAAAATATTTAAATCGTTTTCAAGCTGTTCGAAACAACGATCGAGTAGTACTTTGGTGAATGTGAACATTCGGTAGTTGGACGATCAGCTGTTCGAAGACCGATCAATAATGGCTGACTACAATGAAGCAGACGATAAAACATTGAAGACTTTGAAAGGAACGCGTGATGCTTTACAAAAAGCATCAAATCGTTCCTTAAATGATTATTATTATACAGAACCAGAAGTCGAAGAGCCTATACACAAGGTAATAATATAATTTATTTAATTACAAAATATTTTCCACTTGTATTTTTTTGCCAGATGTTAAAAAAAATAGAGGATAAAATATCGTATTATATAAGTAACATATGATAAGCATTAAGTACAACATACGATACATATACCTACTCAACATATGATAGATATGACTGTGTAACATATGATAGTTTGAAAGATAAAATATCGTATCGATATCGTGATGATTTACGTATAGTATCTTATTTGATGATAATTCATTATATTATTATTATTAATATATTATTATTATTAATATATT